TATGTAGGCCTTTTTTTTAACGCTGGAAGGTTCTTGTTTTTTGTACAGATGTATGAGGTATGTAGATCGTTACAACGGACAAAACGAAGTATGTTATGGCGCAGTAATAGTGCGTATGACCGTAGTCTTGGCAGTTCATACATTGTGGTATTTGTTTTTTTTTATTTTAGGAGCTTCTACTTTAATATTTGTATAGCAGAGGAATTTTTATTCAAAAATGTCCTTGTTGTTGATAGCTGGTTCAAGGTCTACAAAAAATAGTGGTAAGGGAGTTGTTGATTGATAATGAAGAACATTCGTTATGTTCCGAGCTAAAAAATCGCAGTTCCCTAATTCTTTGATAAACTTGATTGAAGTAGAAGGGTGAAGATTTCTTACAACTACACGGTAAGTTTTGTCCTCATGTATTTAATACATATAAAAGTTAACATTTTCTTCTTTGAGGTATCTAATTGCCGTTCTATATGAGTTTGATGTAACAAGTTTTAGGCTGTTTGACGTAGTTTTGCATGAGAATTCCATGGGTGAGGTATTTAGGATTTTAATTGCTTTCCAGAATTGTTGGTAATTATTTATATTTGATTTAATAAATATGGGTAGAAGTGCTCTGATACTAATATCATCGTTTTCCATTTTTATATCGGTATTGTTTTTATTGTTTATGTTATTTTCGTATACATCACATATCTACAGATTAGGCATGGCTTGAACCCATGTCAGTATCTACTGATAATTATTTTTTTGTTTATAATTTTAATTGTAGTTAATCAACCATTTGTATTATGACCAGTATCTAATCTGTTTGGTCAAAGCTCGTCTCTGTGTTTGGTTTCAGTAATTTTGTTCGATGACGGCTTATTTCGGAAATTTGTGGAAGGCATTATATTTTTTTTTGGAATCAACACGTTTAAAATTTAATTTAAACTTCAGTTTTAGTATAGATAAATGTAACAGTAAACGGAGCGAAAATTACGCGTGCACACATTACAAGTTCGGGACACCGAATGAAATTTTATTTAAAACTATTTTAAAATACTCGAAATACATTTATGAATTTGGTGGTGAGGGTTAGAGAATGATGAACTCTTACTCTTAAATTCTTTTTTACCTAATCTGCCCAAAAGTTTCTAGCCCCTCCCATTTGAAAATCCTAGCAATGCCACTGTACCGAATGTTTCATTGGGTGTGCTTTACAAAATTGTTTTATTTTCCATCGTATTGCGTTTCTGGCTTACTGACAAAAAATGTTAACATTTTTTTTTTAATCATATTTACAAATTGTAGTCATAATAAAATAAATTCAAATAGAACTTGATCGCGGTTACCAACGCATCTAGGATACAATTCGTAAATTGTCGTAGGATACGTAGAATACGACTTCCTAACAGAATCAGTGTTCGTTACGAGTCGTGTCCGTAAACATATAGTATTTTATAACACAATTATAAATCCAACGAAAACTATAATTTATCATATCAGACTTCCTAAATGGCACATATTCCCCTTCTACGAATCATGCTAAGGTGCACTGTTAATGTAATACGTTAGCATTGTAAACACAATTTAACGCGAATTAATGAATTGTTGAAATCACACATTCCACACATACTCGTACATATGCACCGTCGATACGTAATGAGTTTCCTCTCCGATTGATGATTAACGATGTGCGGTACACGAGTTGCATTATAAAAAATTGCTATGATAACTCATGTAGGTAACCTTCAAGTGCCTACCCTCGTATGCGTTATAATGTATACGTACGGGAAACATGTTAATACTCTTATACTTTTATACGCCCGGCCGATTGCATAACGCGCGTATAACAGTTAGATAATATTAATATATTCAGCACCGAGTACGAGGACGATGCACGCGTAATATTCGACCCTATTATCAACAAACACTTCTTATTGTCTTTCTACTTTTTTTTTCCCTTCTGCCATTATTTTCCGCTACTGGAAACGCACCGCAATATCGCTGTACGCGTACGAGGGCAAATAATAATAAGTATCTGCTCCACATTTAGGGACACACTGCTCCGTAAATGGTTTATTTTACTATCAACATAATCCCCACGACACGAATTCCGTTTTAAATGATACATCGTAATAATCTATTAAGCAGTGCCTGTACGCGAATTTGTTACACGTACTGTGCACACGGCACAGGTACGGTTACGGCATAGTCTTTAAGTCGAAGACGAGTCTTATTGCTTGCAACAGCGACGTCGAGAAAAAAGGTTTTTGCGTTGTAACCGATTCGACGGAAAATGCGTGTTCGGCAGATTCTCAAAACAAGTTTTTAACCGCGCGCGCGCGCACACACACACACACCTATAATTTGCATTATTCTGGTGGAAAAAGTTAATACGGCATGCGTATGCGTACGTGGAGATAAACATTGTTCGGTTGTCGAAAAATACTCAAAGCCTTTAGCCGTTTGTAATTAATTAAATTATTCGTAGCGAATCTAATTTTGACACACGTAAACTTGACATATTTGTTTTTCTCGAAATAAACTAATTCGTATTAAACTCGTGACATTGCGGTGTTGTATACATAAAGAGGAGTCACCCTCCGCGAGCGTAAATATCTACAAGTGGTTGTAAACGTATTATTATTATTATACACAGTAATATATCTTTAGGTGAGTAGGTACTTGAAACGTCAACGACGATTAGCTAATAACGGGTATCTATCGATTGTTGACTCGAACTAATCCTGCAATATAATTGGAAACAGTAGTCGCAGAAATCCACGATAGTTAAAGATAGTTTTCGATGACATTGTAATTACGAAATTAAAAATAAAACACTAAATGATGAAATGCGCGCGTACAAGAGCACTTACTTAATCGGTTGACGCGGATTAATAATTTCAACATAAGTGCACGAACTCGCGAATCTATCGAACTTAATCCCGTTTCCGATATTGCGCGTTACGATTCTGTATAGGCGGCCGTGATTACGACGCCAGTGGTGCCACGTGAAAGATTTCCGATTGAACTAACGTCGGTACCTAACTCGGGAGGGATCGTCCATTGGAAACAATACTTTGGAATTAAAATATACTAAAGCTATTCAGAAAATAAGGAACTTACGTAGTAGAAGAACACCTTGCCTATCCCAGAAAACTGTTGCCGTGATTGTCGGCAAGGAAGATCATGGCAATAGGCGACAGAATTCTATGACAGAAATTTTAAATCTTGTACACCGCTATGAGAAGTGTCTGAATTTGTATGGTGACTATGTAGAAGAGTAATATATTAGTTCCTCTTTCACATGTATATAATAAAATGTTTTTCTTGAACTTGGTTTTTTTATATATTCCAAAATGTTCCTTACTTTCTGAATAACTCTTATATCACGGAGACCGGACATCGCGTTTGTATCGTTTCGTCCGCCTCGACGTGAGCTGCTATTGTTTCAGGTTTGAAAACGATGACGATGGATCAACGAATCCGAGCAACTATTCTTGGTGGAATCCCGTCCGCTATAGTTTATTTATTTTTAATTTTTTTTTTTTTTCACGGCACGAGAGGCCAATTTCTTTTTTTCTATATGGTTTCATCATTTTCTACCGCACCTGCCTGCCAGTTTACACGACATTAACGTATTTTCAATACATAAAAGGCACTGAGAAATCAACAAATGTATACACATGTAGAACAACTATTGAATTCTAAAACTTAATACACCGCAAATATCGTTTCGATCGGAAGGGAAATTTTCTTTACATCAAAAAGGTTTATAATAAATAATCCATTTAAATTACGTATCATTTTAATGGTGTCTATATAATTAATAAAATAAGTAATTTCAATAATATTTGAAACTTCAAAGTCATTAAAATATACATTAAAATTACATCATCATAGAATGATATTATTTAAATGTATACAATACGATTGCAAAACATTAAATTCAAATTAATATCGTTAAGAAATAAATCATTAGAATTTGAATTTTATAAAATATATCTTATTAATTTCTGATCAATTACGTACTTTTATATTTGTTTTCTTTTTAATTTTTAAAATGCAGATTCATAAATATTATCTATTTAATATAATTTGTGAATCATATTTTATAATACAGAATATCAATTGATAACCCAAATAATTTTAAATTTTAAATTATTTTGATCTTAAAAATAACTAGTATCCTAGAATTTTCGTGAACTATAGAACGATTCCAAAAATGTTCAAAAAAATTATATTTAGGTTTAATTTCTGATCTCACAAATAAGATTATATGAAACTTTTAGAATAATCCTTGATCCTTCTACAGGAGTAAAAAAAAAAAAACTGATATAAAAGAAGAAAAAATAAAATCATGTAAAACCAATGACATCCAAGCATATAATCAGCTGATACTATAGTATAATCTCGTCCTACTAAGAATTTAAAATTAAATTAAAAGAATATAATAATAAAACTGTTATTTTGTATTTTATTTTTATTATTATTATTTGTTTTTTTTTTTTTTTTTTGGTTTGTGAACACGTAGACGAAGGATACGTTGTAGATGAGCTTGAGATTTTATACCGACGTGTTTTGTTATGTTCACGTCCGCTTTTGTTAAATTATTTCAATTTTAACTGAAATCATTAAAACAAACTAAATGTTACTAATGCATTTATAATGAATGTTGTTAAGGTTAGGTATGTATCAGGATCGGAGAATGGGTTAACAATTTCTACCGGGAAAATAAAAAAATCGGCCCACTTAGGTATACCTAATGAAACAACCCTTAAAAAAATATATTTTTATATAAAATTATTGTACTTATATTATTTTGAGAATTTGAACACTTAATATTATTATTAAAAATGAAAAAATAGAAAATTGGTTAATACAATACAAAGAAATGTTATAATTTTTATTTAAAATACATATATTTAGATTTTATATTACACATTAATACATATTTAGCAATTTGTTAAGATTTGGGCTCTTTTGCGAAATCGTATCGATTATGATTTAATTATTCAACGACATCAAATATCAGATTCAGCTGACATAAGCATAAATGAGTCCAAATGATCTTGACTCAATGAGTTTCTTATTCTATTGAGAATATATTTAAATTTCGAAAACATTCTTTCACAAGCTACTTGTGTTAACGACAGTGATAGAATACATTTGTTTGCAAAAAATAGTGTCTTGTAAGCTTCGCTGTACAGATTATATTTCAGTAGTACTGTATACAATTTCGACAGGCTTTAATTTTATTGCTTAATACCGTCGGCTTTTATTTTTCAATTTTCAAATTTGAATTATTAGCGCTTTCTTTTCTAATTCATATTCCTCATCAATAAATTGATCAAATTTATACTTTTTGTCGATTGTTAATTTTAAGCGGTTCCATTTAGAACAGTGGTTCCCAACCTTATTTATTCTAGGCCCCCTTTGTAGACTTTTAAAAATCTCATGCCCCCCCTCCAACTATAAATTGAAAAAATTATATTTTTTTTGTTTACTTTACATTTTACAAATAAACTATATAATATTCGGAAAGACTAATTTTTTATTGATGATAGTAATTATAAAATATAAATAATTGTAAATAATATAGTATAATAGTGGAATTATATATTGACTTGAGTAATTATTGTAATAAATTAGTAAAAAATATAAATAATAGCATGTATAATAAAATTAACATTTAATGTGAAGGCTAACAACACTTTTCTTTGAACAATTTTTTTAAGTTCAGGCTCGATGTTTGATAAAGAACACCTCAAGTCAAATTCGACATCCAAGCGATTTCTATGTTTGGTTTTTATAATGGTCAAGCTGGAGAATCCAGATTCACATAAATAAGTCGATGAAAATTGTACAAGGACTTGTAAGACTTCATTTGAAATTTCAGTATAAATGGGTTGGTATTTTACCCAAAACTCTTTCAAAGAGCTGCCACTGTTAAAATCAATTTTTGGGCGTGAATCATTCTTCAGCTCGATTGCCTGTTCTTGAAATGTATCCGGCAATGTGTCTACATTAGCACTGAATGGACAACTTGTTAGCGTATATTTCCAACTTTCGTTAGAAAAATCCGGAACATATCGCATGAATTCATCAGTCAAACATTCATGATGTTCAATCACTATATTTTTCATTCCAACCAGACAAATAGATTCTTCCTCATCAAAGATAAGTTCGTTCAATCGACAGAAAGTCGAAAAATTAGGAGTTTCTTTGTTTACTTGGCGTTTCCACAGCTGTATCTTTTCTAGAAATGAGTTTATAGAATCTTTGGTGGTTATAATATTCGTATTCCTCCCTTGTAATTTGAGATTTAGGTTATTAATAGTTTCAAAAATATCTACTAGGTACGCAAAGTAGAATGTGAAGTTTTCATCGGTAAAATTCTCACGAAGATTGTCTTTTCTTAATTGTAAAAGCATAATTTCCACTTCAGATTTTAATTCGTTCAAACGTTCAAACATATTCCCTTTGGATAACCAACGAATCTCTGTATGGAATAATAAAACAGAATGTTCCGCGGATAGCTCTGAACAAAGAATCTTAAAAAGACGCGAGTTAAGTGCACTGTTTTTGATGGTGTTAACAACTTTTATACATACTTCAAGTACATTTTTAAGTTCAGATGGCAGCGTTTTTGCAGCTAAAGCTTGTCGGTGTATTACACAATAAGAACCGATTATTGACGGGTTTTTATTTTTTGCTAGGCTTACAAAACCCGATCTTGACCCTAGCATTGCAGGAGCACCATCTGTACAGACACCTACAACATTTTTCCAAGACAAACCATTCTGATCAAAAAATATGTCAATGGCAGACAAAACGTTTCTGCCTTTTGAGGTGGAATTTAAAGCCTGGGAAAATAGAAGTTCTTCTGTGATGGACTGTTCATTTATAAAACGGCAGTAAACTAATAGCTGGCAACAATTGGCCACATCAGTTGATTCATCACATTGGATTGCAAAGAATACGGAATGTTTTAATTTATGAATCAACTGATTTTTAATGTCCAAAGCTAATTCATCTATAAGTCGTATTATCTGAAAGAGATATTTAAGCTATTTTCCTTTTGCTTTCTTCACCAAGTTTTATTTCAACAGCTTTAAGTATGCTAGGTTTAATTAATTTTTCACCCAAGGTATGGGGTTTCTTTTGCTGAGCCACCATGAAAGCGATGTGCTATGAAGCTTCAACAACTTTTTCATTATTCTGTTGAAACTCTCCGATATGGTCAATTTTCATTTTACTTAGAGAATTTTTTTTAGCAACAAAAAACTCTTTAGGTTTTCCTTTTAGCATCGGATGAGCTATGGTTAAATGTCGTTCTAGTCAACTAGGTCGGAGGGCATCGTTACTTAATACAACGTGACAAATAACACACTGAGGCTTTTGGACACCATCTTTTTCAATAAACGTAAAACCAAATTTGACATGATCATCGATACACGTTCTTATTTTCAGAGGAGCCATTACTTTGATATACGTGCATTGAGCAACTTCAAAATAAAACTTAATCGCGTCTAAACTAATCTAATAGTTTTTTCCCCTGGCTTTCTTTTATCGTACTAATTAATTTATGGACAATGTGGCATGGTACACTATGGCTAAACATTTGTAATCTTTATCGATTACTTTATCGATTTTAACGACCCTATATTCTATAATCTATAACGATAGCCATTCTTTATTAATTTTTCATTTTTTCTCTTTATTTTAAATATAATAAAATTTGATAAATACAAATTTTACTTTGTGATGACTGCTTGCGCCTCCCCAGCGACGTGTATACGCCCCCTAGGTTGGGAATCACTGATTTAGAAGAAAGGTCTTTAATTTTTTAAGTTCGGATATCAAGTTGGCTCTTGTTATAGTCTCATCATGATTAACTAAATGCTCAACTAATTTTGTAAGTGTTTCTTCGGGAATGTTTTCATTAAAAGTATATTACATAAGGTATAAAGGTTATTAGGTTGTAAAAAAGCACAATCACTTGATCGGAAATTTAGTATTACTAAAATATCTTGTTTCTGTACTATTGATTAATGTATCAAATGTTATATTATACACATCAATAGTAAACTTTTCATAAGCACTGGGTGGGATGTATTTTTCATCGGAATCTCCATTCATTATTTAATTGATACGAATTTTAATTTCCGGAAATTTATATTGAACAGATATTTCAATATTTTGACGTTTAAAATAATTATTTGCCCAATTCGAAAATTATTTTGCTACTTCAACAACTAAAAGGGAACTGTAAAAAAATTGCTTGAAACTTTCTAGAGTAGTTTTTATCATACAATGCGCTTAAATGTTGAAGGTTTTTATCCGATACATAAGATAAAAATGTTGTAATACCGTATGAAATGTCTCGAACACTGCTCGTAAGATACGATGACCGTATGGCCACTTGACAGATAAATACCTCTAAGGGTTACCACAATACCAAAGTCAACATGATCTAATGTGTTGATAGTGTAACGCGTGCATTGTTGGACCGTTATGTGGTGCTCGATATTTGTATTGGTCAGTAGGGTATTGCGGCAATGCCGTTTGTTTCGATGGAAACTGTCACGTATCATACTCTTCAAAAACGTTTAAGTAGTTTTTTTTATTCACTGGATAGCCACGTGAATCCTAGTGATCAATTGAACGAATCGACCCGACAAGTCATCTTTAAGGTTTTTGCACACCCCGACGTTAACCATCAACAATAACGGAAATGTATTACCTCAAACACGTGCTATGGACGTTAACACTTCAAACCGGTACGGTTGCTTTGACGTGCGTCTTTATTGTAAGTAAACCGATCGAGAATTGACGAAATTTCAGTTGATATTAACACTGAGCATAATGCGATGTTTACAGACTTTAGCGTTTTGCATAACAATGGTGAATCTACCATCTCTAGATATAGATGCGCCAAGTAGTAAGTACAAATCGTTAATATGTATAAAAAAATTTGTTTAATTATTTATTGATCACCGTCAGTTACCCAACTAATTAAAAAATCTCGATGAAAGGGAGCTAAGGATTTTAAGGGCTACCCGTAGATTTTTTTGTTCTTGGAGGTTTAAAAATTTGTTGCTCACAAATACATTACTAAGTACAGACGTTCGTAAACTATCAATGCAACATGACACTATTTAACATAACAAAATAATATTTTATTTATTGGAATATAAATGATTAGCAAATCAAAATACAGTAGTCACTCGACAATTCGAAATTCAGGGGACTAAGCTAAAAATTCGATTTACCGAATGTTCGAATAATCCAAGGAAAAAAATTAATTCGAATTAAAGAGAGGTGAAAAATGATTTGCATATATAACATTTATTAATTGAAATATTTTACATTTATATTATTTTTCATTTATTAAGTAACATTTATTTATTATATTATTATATTTTACTTTTTAAAGAAATCTGTTCTTTTTTTTTTTTTTGTGTTAAATTGTTGGCCACAATCTGGTCCATAGCGTTATCTAACTAACTGATAGCATTGGGAATTGTATAGCATCATTTTTCGAACATTGTAGAATGCTCGAAAAATTTTCTCAATCCTGACATACAAATGGTAAAACGATACGATAAAATTTATTAACTACGATAATATTTAATTTCCGTCCTTATTCATTTTACTTCGAGTACGTCAAATAGATGTACATATGAATATACTTTATACATATGAATATACGTATAACCGTGTTAAAGCAAATTCGAATTATAGAGTTTCTGAAAAAAAAAATTCGAATTGTAGAGAGAATACCACCAACAGACATTTTGAATGATCGAGGGAACTGGAATATATGTATTTTCTGTAAAATAAAATTTGCGAGCATTTATGCCCTTAAAAATTATCATATATGTTATTAAAATTTACAAAAATGCTGAAATATGCTCTACATTTTTTATGTTATTTTTCGTAAAAAAACTTTAAGGTACACTAATATTTTCATTTCTTTTTTATGCTTGCCTTTAAACAGAAAAAAACAAAAACTTAAATTATAAATGCATATTGTTTTAATGATTTAATAATTTTTTAAATATTACCGAAATGAATTGCACTGCGTGACTAAAATTTGTTTTATATTTTCAAATGTAAATGACCGGTGAATGTTCGCCAGTAAATTTTTGTACTTTGAAAATGAACGCTCAACATCAACAGATGTAACTAGAGCGAATTCATAGAATTGTAAGTCGTTGACTTGCAAATTTTCAAGATTTTCTATAGAACTGTCTATTCCTTCTAAAACATTGGAAATATTTTCAATAATTTTAAATCCTTCATTTTTTAACAGAAAATTTTCCAATTTTTTGTAAATAGCCTTTCCTTTTGCTCCTTGTGGACTTTGTAATTTTTCTTGAACAGTTTTTACGACGGAAATAGACTCAGAGAGCATCACGATTTGTTTTTCCAAACGTGTAATATAAATCGAAAGAAAACTATAGATTGAAGAAATAAATGCTAAGTTTGTTTTTAAATTTGGGTTGTTAAAAATATCTTTAGCTTTTTTTTATGCTGCTCACTTCATTTTCATCTAACTTGTTAAAAAAAATTTTTATTACTTCATAATTCTTATTGAGTGAACATCCAGCCATGTTCACCAATGAATTAAAATCAGTTGTGGTGGAATTGAGATGTCAGGAGCTTCATTTTTAAATATACGAGTTCGAGATGGTGCTTTCAAAAATATTTTTTTTACACTTGATATAAGTTTGTCAACTGTGTTAAAATATGAACGTACTTCTCGGCTACTCGATGAAATCCATGTACTATACATGTTTATACATGAATTTAGTAATAATTTATTAATACATATCTATAGACAAATATAAAGTAATATAAGTAATAATTGATTACTAAATATCTATAGACAATTTTCAATTTATTGAGATTTCAACGGTATGAATATATCAACGCCAATATATATGATCATTTATTTACTCTTAGTGGCATGGATAATAATGTCATTTCACGTATTCTTTATGGCCATCATTTGGGGCATTGCATTCAAAGGCGCAATCCAAGTAAATTTTCAATTTTATATTTTAAATAATTATTTATTTAAATTACGTATTTATGCATAATAATGTAGGAATCGCGGAAAACAATTTCTATTGCAGTCTATTTGTGGACAATCCATTGTATAATATGGGTAGGATTAGTTTTGTGGTCATTTAATATTACGCAATACAAGTAAAAATTTTAATTAATATTTTAATAAAAAGTGATAAAATAAAAGTTTATTTCAATAGGAATATTTGTATCGGGTCTAAATGTCCAGACATATTATGGTTATCAGAAAACCCGTGGCGGGAGGACATTGTACTAGACGAATATACCCAAATTAATGAGGAGGGAGATGAAATAACAAATAGCTCAAAAACGTGGTTAAAAAATGTGCCGATCTATGAAAATCCGTTTGAACGACCAATTAACCGGTTCGTATAAAAAAAAATAATAAACTTATAAAAGAATATAAACAAATAACATCTACTGGTATTACTTATGTGATGATATAAAATTTAACGAATAGGAATAGCGAAAAATTGTTTAACAAGAAAATAAAATATAATACTAAAATAAATTTAGAATCTTCAGAACCGGTTGATGAATGCAATATAGTGAACACAATCATTATGTCAATATTTTTTATGAGTAAGTAATTGTTTGTCTGAGTAAACTTTTTATACTATCTTGATAAAATAATAAATTTTCATTTCACAGTAATATTCCTGTTTTCTTGGCTGATATTAGTTAGTTACCAAAAAGAACTTCAACAGATTACAAATTCTCCAAGTGATGTTTAATTAATGTCATTAATACAAGGTGGGACAGTATATTGCAATGAATTTCAATTGAAGTTTATTAGTCAAGTATTGGAAACAAAGCAATAAAACAAATTTTATTATATTCAACACAATGGTTATATTAACTGTTAGTAATAAAAATCTTAACTTTTAAAAATTATTGGCAACTTTCATTTTTTTTACAGTTGACTATTCGTTTTTTCGTACTGTCCATAACTTTCTGTAAGATGCATATCGATGGCTGTAATTTCTAGTCTAATATTTTCTTCTAACTCTAATAATGTATGTGGCATAATATTGAATACTTTAGATTAGTTATTAACAGTATGAAAAAACGGATAGCCAACT